TTTGCACAGGAGGCTGAAGCCTCAGTAGTCCGCCATAGCCTCGGCCTGTATGTAGAGGAAGAAGAAGGGTGGCCATGGCTATGGTGGACCTCATGTTGTGCCGGCAGTAGAAGTGGGATTCGGACATTGATTATGGTTCAGTCATTCAACATTATTCTTGTTACTAGGAGGAAGGGATTGGTTGGCGAAGAAGAAGAGCATTATCATTGGTCTATGCTGGTGTACATCATCTTCTTCTTCATTCTTTCTTCTTCTTCTTCTTCTTTCCCTCTCTCTCCTCCCAAGTTCATTCTTTTCTTTTTGCAGTTGGATGGCATTGTACTTCAAGATGAATGCATATTTCGAAATTGGGCAGGATCGTAACATTGGTATCAGAACAGATTCTACTTGCTGGCGAGAGTTGACTTTGCTGCCATAACCCTAACCCTAGTGTAAGGGCTAACCACTTAGGGCTGGAAGTTAGGGTTAAGTGGGGCAGCGTGGTGAAGGGAAGCTGCTCCCACCTGGCAGGGCCGTTTAGGGTCGACACTAGACCCGGCCAGGTTCTTTGAGTGCATGTTTGTGGTGGCGAGACACAAGGTGGGACTTCGTGATGCATTGTGAGAGAGGCGACAGTGAGAGACACCTACCACTAGCATCTGGACTTCAAGGAAGACGAGGAGTGACTTTAGGGCTCCCCTCAAGTCAGGCGAGCTTGAGGGTGGCAGCCATACCTGCATCTACAGTTGCAAGTTGCTGCTTGGGTCTTCAACATCGACGGGGGATCCGACGTTGTACTTTGGGGTAGATGATGACCTTCCTACGTGATAGGACACTAGTGTAGAGGATGCTAATTGGGTCAGGAGGACTATGTGAGAGGGGGTTGAGTTCTTTCATCTCAAGAGCCCGGCCACTCAGGTAAGTACCGTGCCGCCAGGGTGCCCATGTGTGTGTGCATGGAATTGACTGCCTGTTGGGGTTTTCTGGGTTCTTCTTCCATCCTCCATGGTCTTGATTGTGTGTGAGGTGTGTGAACTGCCTACTCACCTGACGAGTGAAGGAATGAAGTATCTTGTTTGGCATGCTATATCTCTACAGTGCTTTGTTTATTTCATTCTGAACGGCTGTAGTCTGTAGGTTCTTTATGGGGCAGAATTTCGTTTTCAATTCGGTAGGGACAGAGTAGGTCTTTGTGGAACTCTTGTTGGTTGGGACCCGGTTCTGACTCCACTAGGCCCATTTGGGACTCAGTGGGACCAGGCCCAAACAAGAAGGGCCCCTCAGGCCAAATCTGTTGGCGTCGGTTACCTTGCTCTATCTGATTGGGACTCGGACTTTATGCTTTCGGACCAGGACACTCGCTGCGGAGGGGACCTCCGCTGAGACGTTTTATCAGACTCTACAGCACAATCCGCTGCCTGACTCGCACCTCGGGCACCACTCAATTCTCTCTTGCATTTCGCTGTACACATTGAATCTGATTTGCTGTGTCTTCACGGAGCTGAGTCCGGCTAGGCTTGAGAGGACCTCATACCTAGTCGGTCCAGACTGTGTGGCTGGATCAGATCTCTCTGATCTTTTCTTTTTTTATTTTGACTGCTCTCCGGTCCAAATGAATTGCCGCTCCGGCTAGGAGTTCTACCTTCTCTTCTGATTGTTTTCAAAGCTGTTTCTTTGACGTGGTTCGTTAAATGCCTGCGTCTACACGGTTGCAAACAAGAGAGAGAGAGAAGAGAGAAGCTTTTGAGAGTTGCTCTTGAGGGAGTGAGGAGAGGGAAGAGGAGTAATCATCCCAGAAGTGTGAAGGTAGCACACCTCCAAAGGGTTGCGTCTATCGAATGGGCTCAGGCGAATTGGAGGAGCTGCGAAGGCAGATTGATGATATGATTGGGAAAGGATGGATCAAACCAAGCGAGTCTGAGTTTGGTGCACCGGTTTTGTTTGTCCCTAAGAAAGGAGGCAAACTACGGATGTGTATTGATTACCGCGGATTGAACCGAATCACAAGAAAGAATGCATATCCTTTGCCATGTATTGATGATTTGCTTGATGTTGCAGGTGGATGCAAGGTCTTCAGCAAGATCGATCTCAAGTCTAGCTACCACCAGATTGAAGTCAATCCTGCAGACCAGCATAAAACTGCATTCAAAACTCGCGATGGGATGTACGAGTTTACAGTCATGCCCTTCGGTCTCACGAATGCGTCAGCCACCTTTCAAAGTCTCATGGATAAGGTATTTCGCAATCAGATCAACCGATTTGTTGTTGTATATCCGAATGACATACTAATCTTCATAAAGTCGATGGAGCACATGAGACACCTTGAGGAAATGATGCAGATCCTCAAGGACGCGCCACTCCATCTCAACTTGGAGAAATCTGAGTTTGGGAGGGACAGCGTCATCTACCTTGGACATCGGTTGTCTGCTGCAGGCCTAGAGCCCGAGGCAACCAAAGTTGAGGTCATCCGAAGTTGCGTCGTACTACCCTAAGTTTGTGCCCAAATTCTCTATCATCACCCGTCCGCTGTCTAGACTAACGAGCAAGAATGTGTCCTACACATGGAATGAGGAATGCACGACAACCTTCGAAGCATTGAAAGAGGCTTTGATGAGTTATCAGAGTGCTCTGCATTGCGGATCCCAAGCTTTACGTTCGTAGTAACTACGGATGCAAGTTTGTATGGGATTGGTGTGGTGTTGCAGCAAGACGATGGTGATGGCTTACGTCCGCTTGAATACTACAGCAAATGCATGCCCAGTCACAAGGTAGCTGCTTCCACTTACATGCGAGAGCTCTATGCCTTGAGAGAGGCACTAGATCATGGGAAACACTACCTCTTGGGTCGCCATTTTAAAGTCTTCTCAGATCACAAGACTTTGAAATGGATTCAGACACAGATTAATCCCTCAACCACATTAACCCGTTGGCTGCATGAGATTGATGTGTATGATTTTGAGATTAAGCACAAAAAAGGTTGTTATAATCGAGTTGCGGATGCTTTGTTTCGCCACCTTGAGTACATGACTTGCCTTGTGGGTTCCTATGATCTCCGTAAAAATTTGGAGGAACTTACTGAGCATACTGCCAAGGATCCGGAACTCAGTCCCATCCTTGAGCAAATTCGGGCTGACCCTAGCAGTCAACCTGATTTCCATGAATGCAAGGGCCTTCTCTTCCGACAGTACAGGAAGCATGACCGATTGTGTGCGCCCAACCATGAGCCAATCATGACCCACTTCTTGGATTTGGCTCATGGTCGGAGTGGACACTTCGGTGTTGAGAAGACATACGGGAATCTGTTGGAAAAGTTTGTGTGGCCTGGAATGAAAAGAATGGCACAAAGGTTTGTGGCTGAGTGTGAAGTTTGTCAACGCATCAAACCGTCTCGACATAAGCCCTATGGGCTGCTGCACCTTCTTCCTATTCACGAACATAGGGAAGAAAAGCAGAAACGGTTATTCACAAGTAATGGTGACCGTTGATCGTTTCTCGAAATTTCTGAATTTGATCCCCTTGCCACCTCACGCCCCAACTGACCTTGTGATCAATGAGTTTAACAAGAGATACATTCTGCATTATGGTCCCCCGAAGACTCTTGTGAGTGATCGGGACAGTAGGTTCATAAGTGCAGATTGGAAAGATTTCACCTCCCAGACCTACGACATGAAACTCAAGATGACGTCTGGTCGACATCCCGAAGCCAATGGACTGGCCGAGGAGATCAACCAGACCGTGATCCAACTTCTCAGGGCTCTAATYSTACCTGATCARAACTCTTGGGATGRKGAGTTGC